ACGTAAGCACCTGTAAATATTTGACTGTAACTCCCACATCTGAGTAGATACATCACTATATTTGGTATCAATTTAAAGGCCAACCACTCCTCTTGGATATGCTATCAACTCCTGGGGTCTACATCCTCCAGGAGTAAATATATATGCCATAGAATACACATTTTGTCATTTTTCACACAAAAGTCAGGGTCCATTTGACCCGCTAAATATAGACCGATCTTTATCAAAACATGCATGCTTATTCTCTGGCCCGATCCCCTTCTCCATGCAAAAATTCGCGGTATTTGGGCCATAATTGCGGCCTCTGGAGCGACCAGAAAACCCGACAAAAATTTAGTATTTGGTCCATTTCACCCCCTAAATATTAACCGATCTTTTCCAAAAACAATAGGGGTCTTCATTGGCCAGAACCCATCCTACATGCAAAATTTCGTGAAGATTGGTCCATAACTGTGGCCTGTATCGTGTTTACAAATTATAATGGACAGACGGACGGACGGACGGACGGACGGACACACATGTCTAGATCGACTCAGCTAGTCGAGATATGACGATCGGTATACTTAAAGGTGGGTCTAGGACCAATATTTCGCGGCGTTACAAACATTTGGGGCTGCACAAAGCTATAATACCCTGACAACATAGTTGTGTAGGGTATAAAGAGTTTGAAACACTTGACAAATCAACTCAATCATACAATTCAACAATTACTTTGCGTAATTAACAACAAAATTTGATATTGGTAAATATCAAAAACCCTTAAGCTTAACCCACATAATCCACTCTTAAAAATACAGCAACAACAACAACCAAACTCAAGAAAAAACTTCAAGGTCTCATTGTAGCAAAAACAAAAAAACATAATGCCAAAATGCAACATTGAGACCGACAAAACAAAAAACTAACTCGTTAAGAGCTATGAGAGCAGAAAGGCAAAAAAAGAAAGAAACGGATTTACGCACAAAAGTGAAACAATTTGCTAAGAAATCTAATCACAGCAGCACATGCCGTACGCACCAACCACATACATACATTCATGCACATGTATCGCTGTTTGTAAGTACATAGATGTTCGACGGTCAATGAGGTAGGTAATTCACATGAATGGCTTAGATTGAACGCGATCGTATCGACCAAATAAGTGATTGGTTAAAAACGAACACACACCAACACACGCACAAACAGCAACCGGTGGCCAAAAGAATTTCCAAAGAGAATAGAGCAACGCAAAAATTAACGGACGGATACACATAATTAAGCGTTAAAATTATATCTGTCAAATCTCAAATTAAACTCGTATTACAAATGAATCGTATAAATTAAAATCTTAACAGACTTTATTTTTACAAAAGCAAAACAATTCTTAAGAAAATGTTAGGAACCACAGCATAACAATTACAACAACTACACGTAGAACGAAAATTGAGTGGAAAAATCGAACATTTGCACTAATTGCATAAATGCGTCGTTTGCCTGACATTTGTTCTACGCATATGCGCAGTGCATAGTTGTTGAGAGGGTTGCCAGAGTTGAGAGGTTTTATTTGTTCGACCAACAAAAAGAAATTAATGTAAACGACGTTAATTTGGTGCCTGATTTTTATATATTACATCAAAGGTATACTGGCAGCTACATGAAATGGCTAGGTGTAGGCTATGTCACAACATGCAAATTTCTTCCAGGAAATTTTTATCCTCTAAAAAATTAAGGCTAGTGTCATTAAAATACCGACAATTGGTCGGGAGATTTGTTTCAATATTTATCGACAAATTTGTACTCTGAAAAGCCTAAAGGACATACTAGAGTCCCTGCAATTAGAAATTAAGGTCAGGACGTTAAAATTCCTAAAATCAGTCGGGATCCTCATATTTTTGTCTGGAGGTTTGTTATACTCTAAGAAGCCTGAATGAAATATTAAGGTCACTGTGTTTGGAAATTGAGGTCATGTCCTTGAAAATACTTAAAATCTATCGGGATTCCTATACCCGGATTATATGATAAATATGTTAACAATTTTCTACCAAGAGGTTGTTATCCTCTGAGAAAATGTGGATAGTATCTTTAAAACGGCGATAATATGTCGGGATTTTTGGATAATGATGCTAGTACCCTTAAAATATCGAAAATTTATCTTCATTTCAATTTTTTTTCGAAATCTGTTGTTCGTCGGAATCCCTATATTTTTGGTCTGCAGGTCTTTTATTTCTGAGAAGGACATTTTAGAGTAACTGTGATTGGAAATATTGGACAGGAAGGGCCTTTTAGAGTCACTTTGATTGGAAATTGATTTTAGGAACTTCAAAATACCTAAAATCAATTGGGATCCCTGTACGCGGATAATAAGTCGGCACTTTTTTGCAAAGTTATCTACAAATTTCTGCTAGGAGAATAAAATCTTCGAGAACCCATAGTTCGGAAAATTAGATTTGATAAAGGCGCCATTAAAATATGGAAAATGCATCGGGAAATTGACGTCAGGACCTTGAAATATCTAAAATCAGTACGAATCCCTAATCGCGGTATATATATCAGATCAAAGAATAGATTCCTTGTTTCGACACTTATGCCAGGATCTTTAAAATATTAATAAACGGTTCGAACATGTATGCCAAGACGTTTGTTTTGCCAAGGCGTTTCTTTATTCTCTGAGAAACTGAACTGCTTTGTTATAGCTACTTCGGTTAGAGAGTGGGTGCAAAAACTTCAAAATATGTGTATCAGCCCGGACATATGGGATTGGACCTTTGCAGGAAATTTTCTAAAAAAACGAAACCGAAATGCTCCGAAGTGTCCAAGACATACAAACATTTTAAAAATGTAAAATTTTCTGTTAAGATGTCTTTTATGCTCTGGGGAATCGAAATGCCCAATTACAGGCACATCGTTAGGAAAATGGGTCCAGAACCTTTCTAGACTCAATCGGAACTATTACATGAAAGCAAAACCAAAATATAAGTCTTATATATGGATCTAAATTGAAACTTTCTTTTGCCCAGAAATATTTTGTTTTGAAAAATCTTGAAATAATAAATTTTAGTCATCTGGGTAGGACTAAGACTCCTTGGCATTCTGACCTTCTCCAAACACTCCACGGTCTTTATCTCGTCAGCAACAAATGAGTAGTATTCAGCTGGCCATAATTATTTGGGCCTCAGCTCGGATATATTATGATCCTTCTGGCCTTTTCATCCATACAAACTCGTTGGTCTTGAGGATTCTAAGAAATCGCTAGCCTTCAGCTGATCTGTAAATACTGCCTAAGCTTCATCTTCATCTAAAAAGCGTCCTTGATCTCCAGATCGTCTATAAAAATTCCCTCAGATTTAACTACTCTGTAAAAACTCTCTTATATTCAGATTGACTCCCTCACTTCGTCTGTAAAAATTCTTTGTAATGCAGCTGGTCTGTAAAGAATCCCAGATCCTTGATACATCTATAAAAATTCCCGGGTTCCTGATTGTCATCTCGTCAATAATCATCTCTATATCAATCCTTGACCTTAAGCTTGTCTTCAAAGAATCCTCCGGGTGAGTGCTCAGAGCTTTTTCTAAAGGATTTGATTTGAAGTTAAATCAAATCCTTTAGAAAATGCTCTGAGCACTCACCCGGTTTCACACCACCGATATAGATTCTTAACCTGGAGCTTACCTATAATGACAGACGAATGTTTATCTAGTCTTTAAAGCACATCTGTGTGGACTAATTTCAGCTCGTCCATAAAGCCAAATTTCAGCTGGTCTATAAAGACACTCTTTGGCTCGTCTACAAAAGTTTCCTGCAGCTCGTCTATAAAGACTCCCTTCAGCTCGTCTATAAAGACTCCCTTCAGCTCGTCTATAAAGACTCCCTTCAGCTCGTCTATAAAGACTCCCTTCAGCTCGTCTATAAAGACTCCCTTCAGCTCGTCTATAAAGACTCCCTTCAGCTCGTCTATAAAGACTCCCTTCAGCTCGTCTATAAAGACTCCCTTCAGCTCGTCTATAAAGACTCCCTTCAGCTCGTCTATAAAGACTCCCTTCAGCTCGTCTATAAAGACTCCCTTCAGCTCGTATATAAAGACTCCCTTCAGCTCGTCTATAAAGACTCCCTTCAGCTCGTCTATAAACACTCCCTTCAGCTCGTCTATAAAGACTCCCTTCAGCTCGTCTATAAACACTCCCTTCAGCTCGTCTATAAGGACTCCCGTCAGCTCGTCGATAAAGAGACGCACTCCATGTCGCCTATTAAGCTCCCTTCTGGTCGTCCATAAATTGATCCGGTAACCCTATTCTCATAAGAACAGAATGTATCTGTTGAGCATAAAAAAACATACGCATTCTTAATACTAGTTACGGCATTCGACTGCTACTTCGAAAAGGAATGCACAACTTTACGCCAAATTCTAGAACGAATTGTGAAAAACCCAAAACAAAAACACAATCACAACAACAATGGCAAATTTGAAAAGCCTATAGGCCGAACCGGTTGGCCGAGGTATAATTAACAGAACAATAATGTTGATGATGGTGTTTAGTGGCAAAATAAACAATTCTAAAATTAAGAAAACAACAACAACGACAACAACAACGGCGACGATCAATAAATTAACTTCACTGCATGAATGAAACAAATCAAAACCAACTCAACTCAAAATTTACTGATTAAATCTAAATCACCTAAACAATCAACCAGAGAACCAGTCGACCAGCCAACTGTCAATTTGAACTCTTTGGGGGTCTTGCAAATGGATGACATTTAAAATAACGACGATGACAAGTTAATTATATATTGTTTTAAGTATATTTTTGTTTTTGATAAATTTATTTCGAACAATAAATGGTTTTTATCATTTAATGAAAATTTGATTTTTTTTTAATTCCAAAAAATAAAATGTTTATGGGATCATAGAGAAGACATGTGACGTTCCTCAACCTAACAAAAAAGAGGATTTATTTCCATAGGTTCTCACCCATCGTTTTGTCAGATTTTGTAAAGGTTATTTTTTTTTGTATGGTACATACCTGAGCCAATGTTGCCACTGTCAAACCGAAAGTGAAGGCGATTTGTGGTATAGATGGACTCCATTCTGAACCACCAGTACAACTGCCAACACCAATTACCACCAAAAAGAAGGTACCGATTAATTCGGCCAACAATTGTCGCCAGATCTTTTTGTTGTCTGTGATATCCTTAACACCAACTACGGCTGACATGTCTGAAATTATAAAAAAATAAATAAATATAAATTATAAATAAGAGAACCGATAAATTTGATTAAATTATAAGCATAAGGGAGGGAGGAAGCAAGCAGTGCTAGGGGTATATTTGGGAAAAATTAAAAGCATGCTGCATTCAACATATTCATGCTACATATAAAATTCCATCCGGTATATTTCAAAGCATCAAAAATATATCGTCAAAAGAGTTCGAGACCACCTATAAAAAAAATTCCTTCAACGTTCAGCATGTCTATAAAATAGTCTTCACTTCTTCTATATAGTCTCCTGATATTCAGCTCGATACCTTTAGCTTCAGCTCGTTTATAAAGACTTTATGCAGCCAGTTTATGAAATACTCCCTTCAGCTCATCTGTGAAAGACTACCTTCAGCTCGTCTATGAAAAATTCTTTGTATCTGCTGAAGGACTCCCCGTTTCAGCCCGTCTATGAAGGACTCCCTGTTTCAGCTCGTCTATGAAGGACTCCCTTCAGCTCGTCTATGAAAGACTCCCTTCAGCTCGTCTATGAAAGAATCCCTTCAGCTCGTCTGTGAAAGACTCCCTTCAGCTCGTCTATGAAAGACTCCCTTCAGCTCGTCTATGAAAGACTCCCTTCAGCTCGTCTATGAAAGACTCCCTTCAGCTCGTCTATGAAAGACTCCCTTCAGCTCGTCTATGAAAGACTCCCTTCAGCTCGTCTATGAAAGACTCCCTTCAGCTCATCTATGAAAGACTCCCTTCAGCTCGTCTATGAAAGACTCCCTTCAGCTCGTCTATGAAAGACTCCCTTCAGCTCGTCTATGAAAGACTCCCTTCAGCTCGTCTATGAAAGTCTCCCTTCAGCTCGTCTATGAAAGACACCCTTCAGCTCGTCTCCATTCTCCATTCACGTCCCTTGCCCTCATTACTATTCATTATTAAAAGTCCTATTTGTTCATTTATTTTCTAAAAATATCTCACACCCTACTTTATTCTTTAATCTTCCTTTTTCTCCTGCTTAGTAAAAAACATAGAAGAATAACTTCCGAAAAAGAAATTTCACTTTCGAAAAAAGTGTAAATTATTACTGATATTGTGTCAAGATAAAGCGTTTAGACCATTAACACGTTATACGAATGTCGTCTGTCTGACAACAAGCGGACAATGTAAACACGTTATTATCAGCGATTAAAAACATACACATGCACATATATGGCACGCTGACATATATTTATTTTTTTTAGTTTTTTCTTCTTCTTGTTTTTCTGTTTATTGAATTAACGCTTATGATTGCGTGAATGAAGGTGATAAAATTTGAAAAAAAAGTTAAATAAACATTGTTGTCTTTCGTTTATTTGATAAGCCAAATTAAAAATGTAATGAAGCAGAACTACTGTTAATTGCGGATGTTTAAAAAAAAGAAGCAGAGCTAAAAAATATTGTGCGGGCTTGCAAGTGATTTTATCTTAGGGGGATTAATAAAAAATGCAAAAATGTTAAGGGCTGTGGAAAAAATATTATTCTTGAAAAATTCAGGGATTGAAAACTATTTTAAAGGCAACCACAGTTGTTAATTGGCGTTGAAAAAATATTTTAAAAATCAAAGCCTTGGTCTTGGTAAAACATACTTAAAAATCCGCATCTTATAATGGTCACAGAAAAAATATTCGTAAAAATTCACACATACGAATGGCCATTGAAAAACTATTCCTAAAAAAATAAATAAATATTTTTAGATTTTTTTTAGATTTTTAAAGAATATTTTTTCTGGGTCGGCAATTGTCATTTATTTTTTTAAGTATAATTTTTGATTTTGTTTTTGTAAAATAGTCAGGATTAAATATATAGTAGACGTGGATTTTAAAGAATATTATTTTTTGAGTCTGTCATAAAGTGTCTGATAGGCGTGGACTTCTTAAGGTATAGTTTTTTAAGGTCTGTAATAGGCGTGGATTTTTAAAGTGTATATTTTTAAGATCTGTAATAGGCGTGGATTTTTAAAGTATATATTTTTAAGATCTGTAATAGGCGTGGATTTTTAAAGTATATATTTTTAAGATCTGTAATAGGCGTGGATTTTTAAAGTATATATTTTGAGATCCTTCCGAGGCGTAGATTTTTAAAGTATATATTTTGAGACCCTTCCGAGGCGTAGATTTTTAAAGTATATATTTTTAAGATCTGCAACAGGGGGTGTTTTTCAGAAATATGCGAAGATTTTTAAAGAATATTTTTTCGGGTGGATTTTTTCCAGGTCTGCGGAAAGCGTGGATTTTTAAAGCATTTTTTTAAAATCTATACTAGGCGTGGATTTTGAAAGCATTTTTTTATGATCTATAATAGGCGTGAGTTTTTCAAGGAATTTTTAAAGACTTGAAGGCGTGGGGTTTTCATGGTATTTTTAAAGACTTGAAGGCGTGGATTTTTCAAGGTATTTTTAAAGACTTGAAGGCGTGGATTTTTCAAGGTATTTTTAAAGACTTGAAGGCGTGGATTTTTCGAGGACTTCTTGCAGGCGTGGATTTTTCAAGGACTTCTTGAAGGCGTGGATTTTTCAAGGACTTCTTGAAGGCGTGGATTTTTCAAGTACTTCTTGAAGGCGTGGATTTTTCAAGGACTTCTTGAAGGCGTGGATTTTTCAAGGACTTTTGAAGGCGTGGATTTTTCAAATTATTTTTAAAGACTTGAAGGCGTGGATTTTTCAGGGACTTCTTGAAGGCGTGGATTTTTCAGGGACTTCTTGAAGGCGTGGATTATTTAATAATATATTTTTTGAGATATGTAATTGGCATGGATTTTTTTTAAGGACTACTTGAAGGCGTGGATTTTTCAGGGACTTCTTGAAGGCATGAATTTTTTAAGAAAATATTTTTTGAGATATGTAATATGAGTGGATTTTTCCAGGAATTGTTAAGGACTACATGAAGGCATGTATTTTTAAAGGATTTTTTAAGGACTACTTAAAGACTTAAATTTGTTGGAGGCCTGGATTTTTATGACTATTTGCAGGCCTGGATTATTTGGACAATTTTGAGGCTGGATTTTTTGGATAATTTTAAGGGCTGGTTTTTTACCACAATTTGGAGGCTGGCCTTTTTAAGGGATATTTTTAGGTCTGGAGGCCGGAATTTTATTGGAATCGTTTGAGATTTAGATATGGGGCCAGAAATCTTTTTAAGGTCTTTTGAAGCACTAATTAGAGGGCAGAGGGGTTTTTTAAATGTTTTTATGACTGCTTGGAGGACGGGGATTTAAATTTTTTAAAAATATTTTTAAGTCTAGGGCATTTTTGGGTTTATTCGATGATTTGGATTTATTCGATAACTATTTGATTTTAGTTTCTAGGAATAATTTGACTAGTTTAATTATCATCGAAACATTTTTTTCTCCAAAATTTAAACCGTTTGCTTCAAACTTTTTAAGTTACCTCACAAATTTTATTAATAAAATTTGGTTGATAGCTAATGAAATTGGTTCCTTTCTAGATTATTCACAACATTTGTGCTATACAACTGACCGTAATTTCTTTATCTAAATGCAATAGTAAATTGTGTTTACGATCTGAAATAAACATATCTTCTTAGGTAGTCAGTCGCCATTCAGTAAACGAAACATTCAATAGATAACCCAGCTTTTATACTGCAATCGCTAAATGTTTTGATAATAAAAAGAAATATAAAAAACTATAGCAATCAACCAACAATAACTAAACAATGTTGTCCATAATTAGACCGGGCAATAAAATGACTTATAATTGGCAAAGGCCGTTAAGACTGTTTAAGAATTTCAGACTCAATTTGATTGCCAATCAAATAAAAAATAAATCATGGTATTTAACTCAAGTACATACGACTATGTAGATATGTAGGAGCCATTTGTTGATAACAATGATCAGAGGATTATTTTTTTATGGAATTTTTATATTTAGAGCAAATTGTGAGTGGCTCAATTTTAAATTCATATATAGTAAATAAATTTATATTAAAAAGCCTTTAGGGCCTCTCCATATTACAATTACAATGTATGTACAAATTACAATAAACAATGCTTTTATTTCAATACTACTATTATTACTCTCTTGTAATAACTGCATGTCATAGTGCTCTCATGTAATTGTCTAACACAATTGTTATACCGGACTACTTAATTAGAGCTCTTCTTTTGTTTAATTCTAATTAAAATTTAACAAGCAAATATTATTTAAATTTATTATCGAATACTAACTTAATGGTAATTGACGTGGAAATGTACTATTGCCTAGAATACCAATAACAACAACTACACTAAACTCAAATCAAAATGTTGTATCTTCAACAACGAATGGATTTACGTATGGTTTACAAAACCGTGTAGACTAATAATAATTACATATCGCCTTTGGGGGAATATGAACATATCGGTATTTCTATATATACCTATAAAAATAAAGATGTCAGTAGCAAAACTATAGGGACAAAATGGAATGGGTGAACTTAAAAATCCATAGATCGATTCTTTAGTCGATATGAGACAATAGGATTTATGATTAATATTTTGAAGCATTGTAAACTTATGTTGGAATCACCTATATATTCCTATTTGGTAGAAAATTGTTTTTTACTCTCCATAAAATTTACATATTTTAAACATTTGATGTGATATAAATGTAATAAATCTTCCGGCATTTTTATTTTATAATCTATTCTATCATTTCGAATACAAATAAATTTGTCGATAAACTTTAGATGGATGGACATTAGAGTCACTTATATCTAACAGCTACGTAATACAATCAAGCTAAGGTGAATCATGCCAATCCAAGGGAACAAAGAGTAGACATTTTTTTTAAAGAATATGTGTTATGATCTTTTGTAAGCGTGGATTTTTAAAGAATATTTTCTTAAGGCCTGGATGGATGGGCGTGGAGTTTTAAAAAATAGAGGACAATAATAGTCGTGGGTTTTTAAAGAATATCTTTTTCAGGGTCAATTATGGGCGTGGATTTTTAAGGGAACCCCCTTCCCGATTTTAATGTTTCA